TCTATGAGTCTCCAGCCATGGGGAGTGGAATAAGTTACATACCTGGCTTGCCGGGATGTTACAGGTACCTAACTTACAGGTACTTGGCTAAGTCACCAGACACGGGCTTCCTCCTACATAGCAGTCCAGTTAGAGTGCTGTTGGTTGTCTCCAATTGAAGGGTGCCAAATTGCACAACTGGGGGGGGGGTCTCGATGGTCCAGCTCATAGGCTTTATGACAGCATAGGACAGCTTATTACTCCTGTCCCTTGGCAGTTTGCATAGCTTCTCCTGATATTATGAGACCAAAAGCCATTCTTCACAATGGAGCATTCCAGGTCACTAACAGATATACTGAGAGAAGCAATCCAGAGCCACAAAGACAAAGGCTTCATGTTCTCTCTTATTTGAGGATCCTAGCTCCAAATCTTTATTTGAGTATATGAACTCTAGTAGCCACAGAAATAGGGAAAGTAATAGGGTTGAATGATATGCATGTTGTAGATGGGAGATTCTAGAAAGGAGGATAGTATGATATAGATACTATTTATGGGAAAGGGGGAACTGTTGGGGTACTTCATTTGGAGAGAGGATGGGGAAGAAAACACCGAGGGAGAGGAGGAAGGAGAGGGAAAGAGCACCAAGGGTGCTTTAAAAATCCATGAGGAAACCTATTATTCTTTGTATTTAAAAAGGCATGCGTGTACATATGCAATAATTTAGGTGAAATTATGCCGTGAGAGCTGAAAACAGCTTCCAATAGGCACAGATTATTTAATAATAATAATAATGGCACTGACAAGTGACAAACATTAGAAAGCCCCCTCTCAAGTTGTTGTTCAGGGAAGTCTTAAGAGATTTCCCCAAACAATTTAGGCTATTGCCATTGCTCTAGATTACCTTCCAGAACATGAAGGTAAAACCCCTTTTCTGAAACACCACACTCCTTAGACATGAGCCTTAGAGGAATGAAGCTAAACAAAAGTTTGTATGAATTTAAATACAAGAATGAAATAGGGTAGCTTTTACAAAAAGAAATCATTCATTAACAGCTTGATTACTTGGAATGTTATACACTATAAATAAATGATATTCCACTGTCAGTGTGTGTGTGTGTGTGTGTGTGTTTCTGTGTGTCTGTGTGTGTGTCTGTGTCTGTGTCTGTGTGGTGTGCTTTTGTGTGCTCATGAATGTAGATGCCAATGGTCACTGTTCAGTATTTACCTCTATCTCTTTCCAGATAAATGATTAAAACAAGGGCTCTCACTGAGCCCAAACTAGCCCTTTCGGCTAGACTGGCAACCCTATAATTATGTGCATCGATAAGCTTTGCCAGCATCTTTGAAGATGCCTGTTTTATGTTAATAAAGTAGTACTGTCTAGCTTGCTATAAAGATGCTCTTGTATTCAATTAAATTCAATCTGCAAGTATAGTAGAGTAGATTTAAATTATTTAATCTCTAATGGATAAAAGAATAGCACTTAAAAATTCTAAGCAAACATCTACACTATAGTTTATGGAAAGAATATCCTAAGTCATAATCTTAGCACTTTTTCCAGAGTTTTTCTTCTTAGATGTCATGGAAAAAATAATAAATTATTTGAAAAACATATTTGATTGGAGGTAGTCAATATCTTGCATGTTTACTTGATGTAGTATTTTCTAAATGTTATTATATTTATTTGTGTGTGTGTGTGTGTGTGTGTGTGTGTGTGTGTGTGTGTGATCGCGTGTGCGCATGCATGTGCGTGTCTCTGCCATGGTGCACAGATTGAGGTCACGTAACAAATTGTAAGACTTTGTTCTTTCCTTCTGCCTTGTGGGTCCTGGGATTAAACTCAAGTCATTAGGCATGGTGGCAAGGGCTCCTTCTCATTGAATAATCTCATTGGATAGTGTTTTGAAACTGATATTCTAAAAATACACATGTGCTTCATACAAATACGTTTTCAGATGAATGCATGTTGCAATGGATTCATTTGAGAAGACTGTTATGTTAAACTGATCAGTCGGTGAGAGGAAGTAAGCAGGAAACCAAATGGAGGAAAAGGTGCTATGCAGGTGATGAGCCAAAGCCTGGAAACCTGAGGACGAAGAGCAAGTGGGCCAGAGTGATGAAAGGCCTGAGGTTCAAAGAGGAAACAAAAAGCGCATATAGTATTAAAGGTATTGATCAATCAGGTCATAGTTCTTCCATAATAAGACATCAATTACAGACCATTTTTAGTTTAAAGATGATAGTCTTCAAATATTCTAATCTTATTTGATCTTGCTCAGAGAAGGAATCAAAAGGAAATACTTCCTATCTATGAGGTCTGTATAATTTTTTGCCAAAGCTAAACAGAATTTATTCCTGAACAGAACATTGCTACCAACATTACATTGCCTTTAAAAATAGATGTGAAAATTACAAAATATCTAAAAATTCTAATGCATCCTATTAATAATAGAGTTTGATTTTACATGAGAGAAATTCTTTTGCTGTACTCTATCATTTTAGAATGGATTGTTTTAATGAACATATCAGGATGTGTGATAAAGTTCAATACTCTTTTAAAAAACATCTCAGCAATGGAAAATAGGAAGAACTTCCCAACCTATTTATAAAAATAATTAGCATTTCTTTATTAAATATTACAATAAATATTTTCTGAAGGTCATCTTGTGAATAATAATTCAAAAATTAAAGAAAATTTTAAAATGGTAAGAGAAGAGGTAATGGAATTTCCATTTGGTGATCACATAATTTTTAGCAAAAAGCAAAAATGAAGGAATGTCTTAGAGGAATTGGGTGGTAGCAAAATTGATTAGTATTACCCTATGATGGCTGTAATTAAGGCGAATAGTTTAAATTTACACATATTCATAGTCACCGGTAATTTGATAGTTATCATACTCCATCTAAGTGGCTATAGCAAAACAACCTAGATTGGGCAATTTACAATCAAAAATTTATTTTCATGGTTTTAGAGCTGAGAAATCAACATTCTCCATGTCTACAATCTTTGGGATGGGCCTGCTTCCTCACAGAAGGTTCCTTCTAGCTCTGTCTTATATGCTGCAGAAAAAGTCTAAACCCCCCTCTGGCCTCTTTTATGGGAGTGCTAATTGCACTAATAAATAATTCTCACCTTTGATCAAAGCACTCCCCACTAAATTCCCACCTCATCATTTGGCAACTTAGTATTTCAGAGTACCAATTTGAGGAAACTGATTCAGACATTCAAAACTGAGCAATAATATTAACAACTGATGTTCTTTTATATGAGGATGGTGTAGCCTCCCAAACAGACCTTTAGTCTCCATGTAATGCCACCCAGAACCTTGACATTGAATTGAAAGGCTTATTTCAGATGTTACTGTGTTGTATATCTCTCCCTTCCTGCGATTAAATGTGGGATAGAAGCAATTCAAAGTAGAAGTTAATCTTGGCTCAAATTTCAGCGGAAAAAGTCTGTTATGTTGGGGAGGGCGTGGTGACACGAGGGGGTCATTCCATGGTGGGAAGCTTGAAACATGGCTTTTTCACATCTCTTGATCGATACAGAAACAAAGAGCTAAGCTAGAGATGATGTGAGATGATCCCCTTCAAGGATCGCCATAGTGGCACCAAGCTCCTGAAGTTTCTTAGTCTCCCACGCCTCTAAGAAACAAGAAATTAAAACACATGAGCCTGCCAGGAGCATTTCAGACCCAAACTTAAACACTGAGTGTGGGAAGGGGACATAACAGAGTTCTATTTTAAATATCAGTAGTTGTAGATTATTCAATACTCTTCTTTCTTTTTTATTAAGAATTTTTTTTTCATTCATTTTACACACCAATCAAAGATCCCCCTCTTCCCTCCTCCCTCTCCCAACCCACACCCCACTCCCACCCACAAGAAGGCAAGGCCTCCCATGGGGAGGCACATTCAGTAGAGGCAAGTCCAGCTCCTTCCCCCTGCCTCAAGGCTTCCTGAGGTGTCCCATCATAGGTAGTGGGCTCCACAAAGCCCGCTCAAGCACCAGAGATGGATTCTGATCCTACTGCCCCCCCCATCGCCAAGTAGATCAAGGTACACAACTGTCTCACTATGCAAAGGGCCTAGTCAAGTCCCATGTAGGCTCCACAGCCATTGATCCAACTTTCATGAGTTCCCACTAGTTTGGTTTGGTCATCCCTTCATGTTTCCCCATCGTGATCCTGATGCACTTGCTCATAGAATCCCTTTTCTCTCTCTTTGACTGGACTCCTGGAGCTCTGCCTGGTGATTGGTTGTGGGTCTCTGCATCTGCTTCCATCAGTCACTGGAGAAAAGCTCTGTGATGACAGTTAGGGTATTCACCAGTCTGAAGTAAGCCAGTTCAGTTCAGTCACCCTCTCCACTATTGCTAGCAGCCTAGGCTGGGGTCATCCTTGCGGATTCCTGGCAACTTCCCTAGCCCCGGGTTTTTCTCTATCTCCATGATGTCTCTCTCTATCATGGTATCTCTTTCATTGCTCTCCCACTCCATCCTTATTCCAGCTCAACCATCCCATTTCCTTATGTTCTTATCCCTTATCACCTACTCTTCATTGTCCATCCCTCATCCCTAGTTTACTCATGGAGAGCTCATCTATTTCCCCTTCCCAGGGTAATCCATGCATGTCTCTCTGGGTCTTCCCTGTTAGACTCTTACATGGAACCATATTAAACATAATGAAAACTATCTCAAGAAACCCGATAGCTGGTGTGGGACCTGATTGTACATGGATTTTGTTAATGTTGATAGAAGAATCAAAAGTCACAAAGCACCAGTCTGCATTTACAGTTCCTTGTAGTCCTACTTGAAAAATAAATTCATCCTGCTTTGATTTAATATGATCGCCTTCATGCACCTCATCTCCACCACTCTCTAAATCTCTTAGGGCCAGATCTTGTCACATTTATCCTTCAATATCCCATAAAATCTATTAATATTGCTCATATATGAATAGTCATATATCCAAGTTGTAAAGACTTCCTCTAGGTTTTAAATGTGCTTTTAAAATTTTCAGAACTTGGATACAACTCTATAAAAGGGAAGATGACCTGGAGATTTCAAAGAAGATTAAGACTCACTGGACTGAATTGGGCTTGGAAGATACACAGTTGATGAACTACTCAGTGTTGCTGGATTTTCCTGCGTCCTCTCCAGGCACCATCACTGTGAGCAGCACTGGCCAGTGCTTTTATCCTGATGGCCAACCTTGCAGGGAAGAAGCCAGAAGAGGCCATAGCCAAGATCTGCTCTCCTCATATGCAGCCTATTCTGCCAAAGGAACTCTCCAGGTAATTTGACCATTTGTCTCTGTCATTTTTTCCTGAAATGAAATTAGAAAACAACAGCTTTCATCTAAATTGAACTAACTGGCAGGGTGCAGCATACAAAAGTAGCCATTAAATATATTCTGTGTAGCAATGCCAGCGATCAAAGAAGATGGGAAGTGCTTGAATCTTTACTTGTCACATTTTGAAAGTGAAAACATGTTACACGAATTTAATTCAAAGGTGTTGAAGGTGCAACTGAGTTATTCACATTTTCCTCAGTCCATATATTTCAAGAGAATCTCATTTATGGTTTTGAAGGAGGCAAATTTGAATATGTTGATATGTAGGGAGAGAATACAAATGGCAAGAATTGCATTTGAGATTGTTTATGCACATAAGAAATGAAGAGGAAAATTGATGTGATTATTCACACATTTGGGATTTGAAATGCAGCATGCTGGCATTCATGATGGCAAATGTGTGAAGGGGAGCCAGGTGTGGATTATTTCTCTACCTCTCAGGGTTAGCTAGCTTTGGTAATTCTTTTGGCTTTCTGGTTAAGAACAAAACTTCTAGAGCCTTGTGAGTGAGTTAAAGCTCACACTGTAGGTGCTCACTGTTTTCTACCTCTTATATGATGCTGAACTTCTTAGCTCTGTGTGAAGTATCACTAATCTTCCACTTGAGGACCACTGTGAGAATTAAAATAACTAATCTAAGTGAGTCCTGTGGAACAATGCATAGCACAGAGTGCACACAACATGCATGAGAGAAATAATGGCATGTTTGCTTTGTATAGCAGCTGCTCTGACTCAGTGTAAACTATAATTTTATCAGACATATTTAGTCCTTTTTTAAAATTGTGAATTGTCTAATTAAATACAGATGGAATTTTCCTTTATTTCTATTGTTTATGTATACATTTAAAATCTTTTAAATCAACTATAAGGAAAACATGGGACACTTAAACAATTTAAAGCTACTGTATAAATTACTTAAGACAATAGAATAACCAAGGTTTGATATATTGCAACTTACATTTTTTTTTTATTTTTGGGGTTTCTGAAGTATGTACAGAATGAGTGTGTGCTAGAAGGTGATAAGGCTTCCATTTTGTGTTGTTTCTCACCTTGACTTTTAACATTTCATATAACCAGCACAAGGAGTTTTACTACTAATTAGATTTACTCTAATGTTAAATATATGCAGTATTTTCAGCATAGAACTCATTTGATTTGATAAAACATACTTTTTCTGGCAATAATGGAAACACATTTTTATATCAATGAAAACACCAGGAAGCAGTCAAGATCTTTTCCTTGAGTCAGAAGCTATGAACTTAGGGTAATGAGTAAAAAATTATTCAATCTGTTTTGTTTAGACTCCAAGCACTCACAAGGACCACAGTTTCTCTGTCCTCTTTGTTCTGTTTGTGTCAAGTACATTCAAATCATTCCCCTCCCCCAATGAAACCCACACCCAAAACACAACAACAAACAACACTAAGAATTTATTAAGTCTTTGGACTCTTTCCTACCGGCTTGGTTTTCAATTTCTCCTGGCAAACATTGATGATTTCTTGATCATGGGGATATGGAAAAGCCATGTTCCCTTAACCTGGTCTTCTATGGAGACTGGAATACTATTAGACCATCATTTCCATGGACCTGATTCCAGATATCTCAGTTTTGTACATATTTATCTTATCTGTGATATGTGTTAAATATTTTCATTGTTTAATACAATAAACTAAGTTTTACAGAATATTTATGAAATAAATATGACTAAATAAAATATGAATTTGACTGCTTCCTTGTGTTTTCATTGATATAAAAATGTGTTTCCATTATTGCCAGAAAAAGTATGTTTTATCAAATCAAATGAGTTCTATGCCGAAAA